CTACCTGAAAACGTCTTCATTAGTGTTCAACTTCTTCAAAAGAAAAGTGAGCCTGTGTCTTCAAGCAGCCCATCCTTCAGACATGATTATCCTTTAACAGGACATATTGTGAACCTAGCAGCTTTTTCTAATAGCTGTCTGAACCCCTTAATTTACAGTTTTCTAGGGGAAACCTTCAGAGACAAACTGCGACTGTATATTGAACAGAAAACAAAAATGTCAACATTACATCGCTTTTGTCAGGCTGCCTTAACATCTGTCATTCCTGACAGTAATGAGCAATCAGAAGTCTGATTTAGTAGTGGTTGTATAAAACATACGACTGTGAAGTTGTGCAAATAGTGAACAAAATGCTTGCTACTAACAGAAAAAAGTGCGTTTGTGTGTGTGTGTATGTATATATATATATATTGTATCGCTCTACTGAGTATTGAACGTTTATATTCAAAATGTTTTTATGACAAGACTTTAATGTAGAGGAATATGTTTTAGTCAGATTTATATTTAATTGTGAACAGGATTATTAAAAGCTGAGCACTGAAGGAGGTTTATTTTGTATTATACTTGTATGAATGACAATATAGAAGAAAATTTTATCACGTTAGGAAGACTCTAGATGTAACCTGATTATCAGAGATGCTACTTTGCTGGTGTATAGAAGGTACTTCCACTGAAATAATGAAGCTGCCATAACATTGAGGAAAAATCATTACAACGTATCGATGTGGAGATGCAGAAAACATTGATTTTTTTCATCCAAATACGTTAAGATAAATGACTTTGCTTAGAAGAACTACATAGTACTATCATCACTATATTCTAGCATGTCTTCCACAATTAACTTTTTTTTAATGTTAATATAATCTAGCACGGCAGTGAGTTTTCGTCTCATAAATGTAATCTACTGTTTACATCAGTACTTGATCAAAACTGAAATAATCTGTAACTATATTGCTCATCTCAAAGAACTTCACAGAAGCGAAATATAATGCTTCATTCTGTCTTTTAAGGATTGCCCAAGACAATCTTTCCCAGGACAGACATAATTGGGCCTTTTGTCAAAAATGCCAGTGCACATATACGTACATTCATATCTGCCTTCAGATTTAAACGCAAGTTGCACAAGATCTCTTTACATTTAGCAGGCCTATTTTGATTGCCAGAAGAAAATGCTGTGGCTTAAAAAAAAAGTCACGTTCTGCAAAAGAGTATAAGAATTGCTTATGAAAACAACAGAAGCCTCAGCTTCTAGAAAGGGAGAACTTATGTAATGGGGAGTGTGATTAGCTATCATCAGATTTGCACTTTGTGCACCGTCCATCCCACCTCCAGAAACCATTGGCCTTTCAAGATTTTAAGATGCATGTTGGTTGCTTTGTTCATTTGAAGATTAATTATACTGAGAAAACAAATGTTAGCACCACGTACTTGAAAACAATAGTTTTTAATTTCTGCTAGAAAATAATTGGGTTTTAAATCTGATTGATGTTTAGCACACGTTACTGCTGAACTTGTTCAGAGGAAGCTATAAAGTTCCTAGAGATTAGTGTGCAAGATCATTAAAACATCACTTGCTCCATCTCTGAAGCAAACAAACTCATTTCACCTCTGTGCTCATAGACTTAAGGACCAGAACTCTGCAGAATAAGATGCTTTGTCCTATTTTCAAATGTCATATATGAATTAATTAGCACATGAACGGATTTTAAGGGATTTTTAAACATAGACACTTAAAATCATGACTAAAGTTACTAAGCAATAAAGAAAACAGTGAAAACAATGATTCCACTCATATTTCTCACGAAATATTTAGAGTTTCCTAGTGGAAGCTTTGGCCACAAAAGACTTGACCTATAAACAGAAAGGCCATAAGACGATGGCTGAATTTGAAATAGATAGCTAGATCTTCCTACAACTGAAACAGGAACTGCAGGGTGGAGTTTGCGGCAACTGCTGATTATTTGCAAGTGACTGCTAATCACAGCCTAAGGAAAAATGTCATTTAGTCACATCTTCCCTGTAGAACACCAAATATATCTTCTCTCAAGAAAGATGCCAGCATTGCCATGCCATCTCTGCATAGAACGAGTTGCTAAACAACACTTAGCAAGAAATCTCACACCATTGTGCTGCATCACACATAGCCCTTTTTCCTTGCTATTTTCACTTTTGGAATTAACCACACTTACTCATATCCTATTGACTGCCAATGTACGTTAATCACACCTTGAAAGACGGCTATTTCAGACAACACAGAACTGAAGGAATGGATAACTCTCTTGGCAATGCAATTCCATGAAGTAAGACATCTTCTGAGCTTACAGATGTATTAGGTTTGTGTCATCTTGACACTTGCCACGAATAACTAACTTATTTGGGGTTACAGGAATACACTTACCCAATTGTAGTTGTTGCTTATTTTGTTTTTATAGGAGTAAACTTTTCCCCTCCTCCTCCCCTCCAATATAGGAACCTGGGTTTTGATCAAGGCTATGGTAGAAGCCCTTTCATCACCACCGGAGATAACAAATCAGTAAAGCGTCTTTGCTCAGAAGCTTATAATAATAAACAGACAGTAATAGCACATACCTGCTCATACATACTATGAAATAGTTTGTTTCTACATGATCATATTCAGTGATGTCCTGATATCCCGGTTAAATCTAGGAAAGATCAGATTACTATAGTATGAAGAAAACAATATTTACTCAACCTGAAACAACCTATTACAAGTTTAAAACCAAATTACAAATCTAAAACTACCTGATGAGTTTCCTACTGTTGATATTTTGGTACAGGCTTATGAACTGTGCCTCAAATGACTGAATTTAAACATACTGCTTACTTTAAAGTACTCTCCCAGGTGAAAAAAGGGCACACTTCTTTCCAAAACTTTTTTTTTAAACAGTAACTATGTACAAAGTAATATTTACAGAAATGCCATACAACTTTCATGTATTTATATATACAACATGCTTTCTGCAGCCCATCATCTTGCAATAACTCGTTACCATGGCTTATCCATGAACCAGAAAGACCTGTGCTTTATGCAGTTTTCTTTAAAATTAAAGAGCATGATCAACAGTAAACAAAACCTTCTCTGCAGTGTAGGGGAAAGCAGAAATGGGAAATGAGAGTAAGAATTTTGATAAAACTTCTTCACTTGACTCTTCTCTCTGGTCTCTCACAAATTGTTTAATTGAAGGGAAGGATTTCATATGCCTTTCTAAAATGCTGGACAGATGACAGCTATGAGATTTAAAAACCTGTTTATCACAGATGCTTACAATCTTTGCTATAATAGTCTATATCAAGTCTCCAGACAAGAGAAGTCTAGTATTAGGAAAAGCACACAGGAAAAAAAAAACCAATAATAATAATAAAAGAATCCCTGAAACCGTTAACTGCTTTTGAAAAATAATATCTTAACACAAAAATGTCTTGAATGCACAGAGTATTACTGAATATCTAGAAACAAAATAAATCCAAACAGCACAAACTAGCACCAATCTGAACCTGATACAACTGAAAGCAACAGTCTTCCCTCAGCTGTGTAAAAAGATATGAGAAAAGTAGTTATCTGAGACCATTTTAACATGTTAAAGAGATGCTATAACTTTGCATCCTTTTAATGGTTTTAGGAGATACACTAAATACCGACTGTGCAGGCACAATACATCCACATCTAGAAAAAGCAAAGTCAGTCTAAGATGAAAGTCAGGAGAAAGTCAGTCTAAAGATGAAGCTTGATTAATTTATGAAAAGCATTACATGATGTGAGGGCATGTGACAGGGAATTTGAATCAATGAGTCAGGCGATCCCAGATGCTGTGCAAGACTTTGACATAATACGGGCAAAATGCAAGAAGAATCACCCCTCGGTTCCACAGAAAATCAGAACACTAGCATTCAGAACAGTCAGTCCACCAATTCCAAAAGACAACACACACTACAAAATAAATTTTTAGAAAAGCAAAAGTCAGAATTCTTAAAACATTGTTTTCTTCAATATTGTTTCTATCAAATGAAAAAGATACAGGTTCATCTTATATTCCCCCAATGTAATCTGACATTTATATTATTAATTGAGAATGGCTTATCTAGCATAGAAAATCCATTCTACTAAACTTGCAAGTAGGCAAGCCTTAAAAAAAAAAATTGAGCACAAAGTTTTAACATGAAAATGCTTTTAGAATTTCAGACTAAGTATCTGTGTTTTAAACAAAATTCACTGGCTATACAGTGCAGGCTCTAACCTTTTTTCAGCCATCAAGTTCTGTTAGAAGCTAACTGAATTTTTTCCCATGTAAGGATTTTGCTGTATTCTCTCAGCTGTTTATTAAGATTGCAAAAGGGAAAAGGTTGTCGGGACAATTTTGAATGGTTAGGATTGTCACATAGGAAATATGTTAAAAAGTGTTTTACAGTAAGTAAAAGCATGTCAAGTTCAACTCTGATTATCATTTAATTCCATTTGAAGTTGTTTCTGCGTAAGTAGGAAAAACAAGTGAGTGTATGAAGGCAGGTTTGAATTTTAACAGATATTCATGAAGGTGAACCAATGAATTAATTTGATTTTGATTGAAAACAACAAAGATAAGGGTTTCATTTTAATTTAAGGGACAGTATCCTTCCCTTCCACGCCAAAAGTCTTACCTTACCCATTCAGACCATCAGACAAATATTTTAAATTTTCATCATAGAAGAGCATAGGGCCAAATTCATTGTTTAATTTCACTGATTGAATTATATCTTTGCAATAAAAGTTTACGCTTACATTACCAATTACATCTGCAGCAGCCCATTGGTACACAGTTAGACCTAGCCATTCCTCCTTCAGAGACTGTTTACGTTAAGAAATTATTACTACTTTTACATTCTATTTAACAAATATGACACCAATAAACCATTTCCACCTTGGAATTGCACTATCTTTTTTATGTTAAATCTGCAACAGCAGATGATAAGGGACAAGTAATTTTTAAGACATACATACAGACCATCCTTTCTCTACACTCTTAAGCTCTGCTGTCGGGGAGGTATATTGTGGTACATGCCCTGCGCTATGTTTTAAAGAGAGACACGCTGGATTTGAAAATCTGAACACCCTCCATTCATATTTATAATTTAGGTGTCCTTTCTTCAACAGTATTGTCCAAACTATTTATTCCACATTGACATATGATACACCAAACTTTTAGCCCTTGGCTTTTGGCTTCCTTTTAGACTTCCATTCCATCATATAGCAGCATGACACAGCCAGGAGCTAAGAATAAACAGTTGCATACTGAGCCAGCCACCCAAGATGACAACAAAAAAGCAATGCCTTCTCAGGACTTCAGACAGTGCAGGATCAGCTCATTACTTTCAACTCAGTCTCTTACATGCTACTTCAGTTATTTTACATACATCCAGTGGATTCCACTACAAAATTTAAAGATGATTGGCCAAGTCTCACAAAGTAACCTGTGTGTTTAGAATGGCTTTTGAAGTTGTTCGACCCCAGTGATAAAACCATATTCAGGTTTCCAACCTATTTTCTCAAATTGTTCAAACAGTCTGCTACAGGTATATACATAAGTTTTTAAGTTCTAAATTAACAAACTACTGAACTATTCATTACCAGAAAGTAAACTCTAAGTTTTTAAATATTTATTTAGAGTAGGTATATTTAATGCAGCAGGGTAAGCCTTTCCAAAGCAGCAACTTTGCTTACAAGTTCCAACTCACTTGACCTGCAAGCAAAATCACTGAAAAGGCTTAAAACCTTTTCAAATTGCATGGAATGTGTTTTCTGGAAGGTCTTCAGAAAAACTGTGAAAAAAAGACATACTGGAGAAACAGGAAAATTATTGCAATATTGTTACATTATCCTTAGAAATTGGAGTTACGGCTATTTTTACAGAAAAGAGCTCAGTGGTAGAATTGCCTAATAGTGGTGGTGATGGATTTGTTTTCTGCTTCAGCAGCAGAAACATTTCCTTTCCCGGGCATTCTCTCAATAGAAACAGTAATATAATGGCAAATAAGATTTTCTTCCTTTCATTCTCTCTCCATTCAGAACTACAAAAGAGAAATAGCCTTTACCTGACTATAGAAACCTTTTAACTCTTGTGTTCCAGTACGTAGTTATGAGTGAAGTGCACACAGCAAAATCAGAGAGAAACCAAGGAAAGAGCTCACTTAAACGATGTGATGATATTCCAAACATCCATCTGATGATTGAGTAGCAAGACAGGAAGATACACATAGATAGTGACGCCTGTGGGAACTTAATTTATAAACTTGCTTGGCTTTCAAATACATAAAGACAGAAGAATTACTTCTGATACTAAAAGCGTAATATTCTTAGAACAGTGAGAAACGTGACATGTTATTTTCTTATTCTAATGTAAAGACGGCTGATGAGGCATGACACTATTGAAGTGTCACGCGATCAGAAGCACAAACTTGCTGGCGGAGATGCTGCTAAAGTTGACATCCGATCACACAGAACCTACTTGCGGGCTCAGCCCATAACAAGGGGTCTATGAGGATCCATGGAAAACTGTCCCTGTCCCCCGCTAGATTTGTGCTCTTCTTGACTCTCACTGATACTGAGTGAGACCTTTTGGGTCTTGGCCAGATTTTATTACAAGACGTATAGGATCAGGACAGCCGGCCGCTCCTATTCTAAGCCCAGACTAGACCATGACTTAGTCTAGACAAATCTTTGTAAAGAAGATACCATGTTTTAAACAAAGCATGGTAAGCTTTTACCTTGAAAACAAACAAACAAAAAAACCCCACAAGTTTATTAAAAATGCCTTTAGAAAATCATGGAGCTACAGACTTGGACATAAGAATAGCCATGAAAGATGGCACTTTCATAATAAAATAGGAAAAACTTCTCTATTCCAAAGGTAACTAGAAAAAAAGAACCAGCTAATGAGGTACATGAAGGCTCTGAGTCCACAAAAAGGCCGTGACCAATTTCGGTGAACTTTGTATTACAGTTCAGTATAACAGTTCTGTAACCACCTCGTTATTTTACAAGTGAGTAAATATGAATAACTCCCATTTATGATTCAGTACATAATGTAAAGGTAGGATAGAATGACAGTTATTAAAAGCATGTATTTTCCCCGCACACTTAAGATTTTCTATTCTCTTTTATATAACCTCTCTGCTCCTTTTTAAGCGATGCAGCTCTAAGTGTTCGGTACATTCTCTGAACAGTTTTGACATGTTTCAAACTGTAAGATGGTAGGAGCAGAGCTTTGTCTTCCCTCGTGTATACATGCTGTTTGCAAAAGCCTGGTTTACAGATGCAAATTATTAAGATAATGCTGAGAAATTTAATAAAACATTAGTTGATGATCTTCTGTTTGATGCCCTACAGAACTCGCGAGGGATTCAATTAGAAATAGGTAAAGACTGAGTCTGGTTCTTTAAGCAACAGGTCCCCCTGTCAAATACCTTCATGCCTGTACCCTCGTTATTTCAGGCAGCTTCCAAAAGTCAAAAGAATAATTTTCTGTTCTAATTACCTGTTGGATGTAACAGACAAGCACTTTCCAAGTATTTATTAATCTGTGTGGCTTTGATCTAATACCCAAGAGCCATTTTATCTATGCTGTAATTAATTAATTATCATATGTAAATATACACTAATCTTTCATGTGGTTCACAATATTGCATCTAAACACAACAGGTATTTTGGAGGAGGAAACTTCTGGTGAAATAATTCTAGTTTCTCATTCATACTGCGGAAGCAGCCATCATCCCCCTTTTATCTGCTCAAAAATGTTTTGGTTTTTTTTTATTTTTAAATCTATTCTATCAATACGAGATAATTTGTATTTTATAAAAATCCGTATACCAGACTCCTACATTGTTTAAAAAAGCTGTAGCATTCTCTCAGGGACAGGGAAAACTGCTGCTTTTTAGAATAAACATATTTTAAATATCAAAATCTGTGCCATTTTAGCTTTTTGAACAAATTAACATTAACAAAATAGTACCAAGAGCAATAAAGAGGAAGTAACAAATCCACAAGAATCAGGCTTGCATTAATATGTTATGCTATACACACTTCCAAGTTTCAAGCCCTGTCAAGAACAACTGCCTTTGATTGCCCATTTCTCTGTTCTTTATCCTATATCAGAATGTAGCAAACATTTATCCTTTCAAGCTTACAACTTAATTTCTTGCCAAGTGGAATGTGTTTTGTGAATTCAAACATGTGATGGGACTTTTTTTTTTTTAACTGAAGTTATACATATTTGGAGGTTTTGTGCCAAATTTTGTATATTCAGCAATTTGGGCCTTTTCCAGCAATTTTCATTTGTGATGCCTCTCTCTATGATGAGTTAGAAGTCATTAACATAGGACCAGAAAAAAATCGTAATTGACAAAGGACAGAAAAGAGTGTTCTCACTGGACTGGAGCTGGGTGACACGTAGTCAAGCAGACCTAGCCTCTGCTCCTTACTTCAACAACTGCTCAAAGAGCGTTACTCAACAAATTCAGCCCACGAGTGGGAATCCTGTACTGAATTTCAATTTTGTGAAGATATTTGCAGCTAAGTCGTGAAAGCAAGGATTTATACTGGAAACCTAACAAGAACTGTCAAGGAAGGTCTCACCACTAAGTAAAGAATGGGAGCCGAGAGGAAACATCAAGTACGTGCTCCAAGAAGAGAAGGAAGAATTACCCCTCTTAATAGCAAAGAAGGGGCGGTTGTGTTTCACCACCAAACTCCACATCACTTCAATACCCTGGCTATATTAATAAAAGTAAGGGATTAACTTTGAATGTATACAGAAAAAAGCAAATACCCAGAATTAGCATGAAACTCTTGCTGGTTAATATGTAATGAAGAATGCACAATTCCTTTAAACAAAAGTAAGAAATACACCACATATTGTTTATACCAAACACAGTTGGGGACGTGAGCCTTTCGCCTGGGAAAACCATCTTCAAAGTAGCAACTGTTTTCCCAGCTGTGAATACTCTTTCCTGGGAAATCTACTCCTACCATTACAAAAATAATTTTCAAAGGAATGTAAAATTATTCAGCCTAATCTATGCATATCTGTATTTCAGATGCTATTTTGTACCTTCTTAGACATGTCTGTTTACAAAAGGCCTACTATTCTCTATAAACACTATATGGTGTCACAATCAAATTTACCTCTTAAAAAATAAATAAATGTATGGTTAATTTAATAAAATAATTTAAAGCAACTCTATCAATATTCTGATGAAGAAGTGTTAGCAGGAAACAAATGTTTCAGTCCCATAAGTAGCTGCCCTCAAAGTTTGGGCTTGTTTTTATTTTCTTTTTCCTAATTTGAGAAACATTGCATAGATAAGAAAGCAGACAAACCAAGTAGGATCTCACATGGTAAGTCAGAAATGCCAAATGAGTTTATAGCTTCCTAATTTTTTTTCAACTACCAGAAGGCCATCCTGCAGTGAGGCAATCAGAAGCCAATGGGCCAGCAAACTTGTCTCTTCATGCAAGTAAGAAAAAATACAAATAAAACAAGAATAAACATTCAACTGAAAGGTAGCCCAAAGAAAAGAGAAATAGGCCCAATATTTCAATTACAGACTGACCAAAACCAGCAGACTAACAAAAGCGCACCGAGATTTAACTTCGCCATTTTGAGAAATAGCTATCATCCCCCCTTTATCACCAGAAAACTAACTGCTGATGTATCCGTACATCGAGGGATGGGGGGAAGTTGAAAGATTGTGTCATCTTCTCTTGATAACATGGACAAAACTGTTTGCATGTTAGAGATATTTTTAAAATGGTCAAAAAAACTAGTACAAGACAAGATTCTTATTTTAGGAGGTTATGCTAAATAAAATGAACTTTTTGGAATTTATTTTCCCTTTTTCAAAATTTAAGATTGGTTTTCTACATATTTCTTAAACAAACAACAATTAATAACTGCGGATAAAACTAATGCATACAAACAGAGAATTAAGCTAGTAAAGCAAAACTAAACAAATGCAAGAAGAGTTGATAGTGGAATTGCAATGCAAGCAGTTTCCAAAATATATTTTTAATGTATATAAGATACATCTAATATTGGTAGCCTGGTAATCAGAAGAAAATTCTGCAACATCACACTAAGTTATAACTTCATGGCACTTTTTAGGATGGGAAAATACAAAACAAGTTATTTAGATGGTTACAAGATAAGCTTCCCATTATTAAAAAAAATAAATTAATGGCACAATAAAGGATTACTGAGTTTGTTTGCAAATCATCCACAACTCATTATTTCAACAACAGGGTTTGGTATGAATTAGTGGGTTGTCAAATAAATAAATATACTTTCTGATGATAGCTTTACAGGGTCTGCTTGATAGGTTTTGTAGCATGAATGTCTAGTTTGCGTTCATTAAACATTCAAATTACTACCCCAGTTACCTGATTACAAGCAGCATTAGAGATCGTATCAAAGTAGCATTCCTAGCTATTCCACCAAGCTCATGCCAAAATGTTTATCTCCACAGCTTAAACATAGTTTTATGGGTTTTCCACCACTATAAGCAAACAATGATTTTAAAGAGTCATTTTTTGTGGTTTGCTTTGCTGTAGTACTAGCTAATAACTCCTTATTGGCCTTTATGATAACCTCCAAAAAGCTCCTGCTAATTTTGCCATTTTCCATTTAGTAAACAGATCTTACTGTTTGGGCACCTGCACACTAGCCCTCTGATTAAAGAAACACCATGAGCTACTTGTTTATTTGCCATTGTTTGTACTATCTGTATGGAATCTCAAAAATTAAATTCCTTTCCCACCGATTTTGCCTTTATCTGGGGAGAATGTTGATTCTTCCTCCTCCAACCATTTGCAATGCTGAAGATAACAAGGAACATACAAGGAAACACCCGCTGACTGTATGAGCATTACCTAAAGTACCCTTCAACCATGAACAACAGGATTTGATTTATAAAGATTGATTGCCTCTTAGTCATTGTAATTTTCCTTAAAGTTACAATGTTTGCTAGACTAAATTGGGAAGGAACAGGAATTAATATTGTTTTCTATGGATTACGAATTTTGAGTCTTGCCCAATAGATGTTCAACTCTGGACAAATTTCTTACTGTTCTGTAGAAAGCCCGCAGCCCTGAAAACAGCACTGGAGAAACAAGATCTACCCTTAAATTACAAGGTTAAAAGATCCTTTGATACAGTAAGGTCATTGTGGGTAGAACTCAAATAGCCTTCATAAACAAAGCAACCACAACATGTTGTTCCCTACCTACAGTGTTGTAAGTGTCAGTACTGCTGTTTCGATAAGCTTCGTGGCATTAAGGCAGCTGGAATTTTGAAGGGTGAAGAAACCCATAAACAGAAGCAAGACACAGGTAATTGCAAACAAGCACTTCTAATGCCTCTGTTATTTCAAGATGACACATTAACAAGATTGTAAATATTTTTTTCAGAGAACTGAAACAAAATTAATTTGTCTCAGACAAGGTCCATCAGAAAGTCTTTATTTAAGAAGCCAGTATTTAACTTCAGACCACCAGTCTAGATGGCATACTTTAAATTGCTTTTCTTTATGCCTATGTTATGTGACAATTCAAAAGAATAATCTCCAATTATAGGAAGGTTTAACATATGAGTATGGTAGGAAACTACAAAATCGTTAGAAAACAAGTAAAACTAATGTCCAGGCATTTAAAAAAAAAAAAAAGAAAATCAATGTTTAAAATGTGGGGTTTATTGCCAAGTAGCTAAATAAAACAGTAACGTTATGAAAATCTGTCAGAAAAAACACAAGACTGAATTAAGTTTAAAAACTTGTATTGCTCAGCTCCACTAGAGATGTGTCATTTAGAGCTGTGCGGTTCTAAGATCATTCATGAAAACATTTATATTGGTCTTGAATTGCTCATTGCTATTTAATGTAAACAGAAGAAATTCAGTAGATGAAAATCAATAAAACATCGAGATTACTCTGAAAGGTCAAGTTGTTCCAAGAAAAAATGCTTTAGTCTTAGGCCAGTAAGAATTTTTGAAACAAAATTTCGTGAAGGAATGATCAATGTACACTAAATCCAGTCAGTTAAGACACATTTCAACTTGCCTGCCTGCAGCTCTATAACAAAATCAATTAGATATTTACATTTTCCACTTTGGAGACTAAAATTGCTGTACTAGAATAGAAAAAAAGTAAATCACGGGAAAGTAAAGTGACTTAATGAACCAGTGAAACCTCTCTCCCACCAAAAGCAATGTATATTATATGTATATAGCTATTACATAGCTATCTTTTGACTTCCTTCCATCACATATGAGACTCCTTCGGAGAAACTGGAGTCTATCTGTCCTTAAAGAATGCCAAAAAAGTTTTCTTTAATTCAGTTACTGCATTAAAAGTCAATCAAAGCTCATTAGAATCCAGTTGTCATACTTCAGGAATTTCTGTAGAACTATCAAGGTTCCGGCTTATTTTAAAGTAACAGAAATAAAATTAAAGAAAGTAAGGCTGCAGAATAAACACACACTCTCAGCAGTTGCCTTAATTTTTGTTCCAAATTTCTTCTTTGGAACCATCCAGACTAACCGAGCGCATCACTGCGGCCTCAGAGTTCCTCCTGATCTTCCTGTACACACAAAGCAATTTTACCTTGTTTTCTACCACATTTTCCATGCTGACAAGGTTTGATGTCCAAAAGCATTTTAAAGCATAACTGCCATTGTGACTTAACCAAGTATTTCACACAAAGCTGGGAGTACACATGCTAAGTAACAATCATAAACTGGTAAACAGCTAACTTTCATTAGCCATTTCTGAAGTAAAATTGTTTAAGGTCTGCCTAACATTTTTCATTCTCAACAGCAATTTCAAACAAAAAAACGTGGTCTCCTAACTTACGCTTTCCTACTATCAACAGTTACAGTTTATAAAGCTGATGCCAAAAATTGGCTTGCATAGACCTTATATGGTATTCCCTAAAGCGAACACTATATACATGTTTAAGCCACCCACTGACACTAACTTTTATAATTCTAAAAACTGTTGTGCCTAGTGGTGTTCCCTAATAGTATTAAGGGTTCTTCTTGCCATTTAATATTTGCTCTTCTTTCACAGTCCTACAGTCTGCATGGCCAACAAAAACTAATTTGGGGGTTCTAAGAACTTATCACTTGACATCAGATGGTCCAAAAAGGCCCCACTTGCTAGGGGTTTGAAGCCCACTTGGGATTTTTTCCATTTTAACATTAAATTATACAGATTGTCACAGGCAATACAATTTTAATGTTGACATTCCAATTTCACACTGTTTTATCCTGGAAAATTGTTTTTACTCAAACTGAATTATAGTACTGTGAATCTGAAGTCTGTAATACACACCGTACAAAGGAGAGCAGAAACATTCCCTCTGATTAAGCTCTAAATACCAGATTTTCTGTTTTTGCTTGATATAGACAAAGATGCAATCTTTCACTACTTTACTTCGGGATGTTTCTGCTGAGTTCAAAACCGCAAGAATTTACAGACCTCTGAATAGCTACTGCCAATAGGTTGGCTTTTCTTATATTATGCTTCACAAACTTTAAATGTAATAGCTAAAGACACTTACCCATGCAAAAGCTCTCAAAAAATATTCTTGCCAATGAGCTTAAATAAAGTCTAATAACAAAATAAGAAGCACTACTTTTTAGTTATATGGTCTCCATTGAGCTATACATGTCACAATAAATGAAGTAACAAGCAGCTTTCACATCTATTTTATATTAGGCCAGGAAACATAAAAGAGTTTAAGACCATTTTTAAGACCTTTGCCTTTCCTTCTCCACTTCTTGGCAGTATCAAACCGCTTCATATTTCTTTAATTCTGCTGTTCTGAGTGGTTACTGTAGAACGTGGATCAAACTGCCCTGTTTATGTATCATTTCCATCACAAAAAACTTACAGCTCTAAGTTTCCACTTAAATAACATCCCGATATTGCTAATTTCATTCTCATAAAATTAATTCATAAAATGTTCAGTAATACAAAGAAACTGCTGACACCTTCTGGTCACTTGACATTCTGTCCAAAGATCAAGAGGATTTCCAAGAAAACATCCTTCATGTTTTTCCAACCACTCAGGATCACATGAAGACTGAAGCTACGCCTGTATTGCCATATGACAGTTGCTTAAAGCCATTCATTTGGTTCGCCTTTCACCCACATTCTCTCACCCATTCTCCATCTTTCACAGAAGCATCCAAAACAAACAGAGATCACCTACTCTGACTGCTACAACTGTATCGGCTTAATTTATCTTCTCCTTTTAACTTTCACTCTAGGTCTATTGCATGCAAGGAAACATCGCAACTGAATCAAATAGCACATTGGTATTCAGTACTGAATCTGGAAACCCGTCACATCACAGGTAACGATATATCCACCTTTTATTGAATTAAACAGTCAAAACTGGGAGAACCTACCTGCAGGTTTTGTTTCTTTTTCTTTGGTTCCGTTTCCGATTCCAGCTCTCCCTTCTGGGCCACACGTTGCTTTAGCTTTTTTCTTTTTTCTGCCTTCTTTTCTTTTTTTTCCACATTCATTTTTGGCATTTTAAAATTGAACTATTCTGTAACAGAAACCACCAAACTGCAATTAGAACCTTTTTTTAATGTTAAGTGTCAGTCTCGTATACAGACAGAGTTATACTATAATTACACTGGTATGAGAATTATTTGTGACTACTTAACTATGAAATGTATGTCTGCACTGAATTTTGATCCATTTTGGAGAATTTTCATCATGTTTCCTTTAGGCATACATTATAGTTAAGCTACTGTAAAACTAGAATGTCATTCCCCTGTAGAAAACTCAACGCCTATTGTCCTCACAGGCCCCATTGTGGAAAACGCTTCACTGACCCTCCTGGTAATAATCCCCCATAACTGATGCTGTGCTTTCTGCAGGTTGTAACGCACCAGACTGAACTGTTTTATCAATTGCCTACCTCAGATAACACCAATCAGACCCCTCTCTTCTCAAAATACATTAATGCGACTGTTAGTCATCCCATTAATATACATATGTGCGCATACACACATACTCACAAGCAAAAAGTAAGCCTACTTTATTACTAAACAGATAGTTTTAAACCACCAGTTCTGTTTATAGTGCAAGTTTTTCTATTTTCATACAGAATGTGGAAAAACCATGCTTAAAGAATTCTGCCTCACGAGTTTTATCTTTCATTTTACACTGACATAAAGGCAACAGCGAACAGGAGTTGCAGAAAACCTGGTTCTGAAACCAGGTCTAGTATGTAACTGCATATTATTTCTCTGGGAGAAAATCTGATTTAAGCGGCTTTCAACAGCTGCCCCAACACAGCCACTTTCTCAGTAACAGCACAAACGCAACAGTTGACTCAACCACAAATATTTAGCTTGAAAGGCACTCTGAAAGCTAAAACAACCCACAAACCCAGCTTGGTAGGCACCCATACAGCTGAACCCGCACGACCGATGGGTAGGAACCCCCTCTGCCGCCTGACAGAGCGACAGGGACCCAAGTCCTCGACACCGCTGCCACAACGGCACCTCAGTTAAGGACGCTCGGGCCAGGCCAGGCCTAGACCCGGACACCACCAGGCCCTGGCCAGGAAGGCACCGCCTCAGCTGGCGGGCAGCACCTAAGAGGCACCTGGCCACCGGCTGCCCAACACAAGACCCCTGGGTTCGCTTTTCCTTTTGCTGAGGAGCGAGTTAAGCCCTCGTGACTAGGAAGTTTTTAAATGTGAGTAGTACGTTCTCAAGAGCGGCCACCAGCCCATCTTTCACGGGCAAAGCGACGCCGCTGCCCTGTCACCAGCACTACCCACCAGCTCCTCCGCAGCGCACACCCAGCACCGGGCCCCCACCCTCAGCGGGGGTCGGGGGCAGGCGGCTGGGGGACGACAGAGGGGAGCGGCACCGGGCAGGGGGGG